TGCACTCCAGTCTGGGCGACAGAGTGAGACTCCAACTCAAAAATAAATAAATAAGTAAAGCTCAGTCTGTCTCTTCAAAAGACCAAAGGCTAGAAAAGTGATGAAGACTGAAACTTTAAAATAATTGTCATTATATTGTTTCCATTTGTGAATAACTTTTTCTTTCTTTTTTTTTTAAATTATGTATTTATTCTTATATGCTTATACTTCAGTCACCTTCAAAGAACTCTCCGTTCAATGCAGTACACCTATTGAGAGACTTTTTCCACTGCTCAAAACAGTTTTTGAACTTGTTCATTTTGATGCATTTTAGTGCTTCTACCATTTTTTGTTTTATCTCTTCCACATCAGCAAAACACTTCCCAGTTGCAGCAGGGTAGCAAGCACAGGTTAGACCTACATAGATAAATTTCCTATAGGCAGGTTTTAGGAAGTGTTTAGACATTGTTTATTGCTTTTTTTCTTTTTTTCTTTTTTTTTTTGAGTTGGAGTCTTACTCTCGTCACCCAGGCAGGAGTGCAGTGGCACACTCACGGCCGTTGGGCTTAGGCAATCCTTCCACCTCAGCCTTCCAAGTAGCTGGAACTCCAGGCACAAAAGAGACCACACCTGGCTAGCTTTTTTTTTTTTTTTTTTTTTTTGAGTTGTCTCACTCTGTGGCCCAGACTGGAGTGCAGGCAATCCACTCACCTCAGCCTCCCAAAGGCACGGGATTACAGGCTGAGCCACCAGGCCCGGTTTTTTTTTTTTTAACTTCAGGCCAAGTTGCTGCCTACCCCAACCTCTCAGCAAACCAAAAAACAATCCCATCAGATGTAAGAATAGAACAGCCTAAACTTTCAGTTCATAGTTTAGCAAAATAATCACAAAATTTTTCAGGTTTCCTGTTGAAGGGGGAAGGCTGAATACCACCTCTTAAGTAACCAAAGCCATGGAAATGATAATAAAACCACCTTTTAGCTCATGTACTTATGCATTGGAAACATCTGGTAAGTCTCCTGTGAAAGACAATGTGGTCCGGAAAACACCACCCCTCCTCCCACTACTCCCATCAGAGGAGGAGAGAAGTCAATCTTTCCAGAGGTTGCCTGTGTCCCACCCTGTTTAGCATATCAATTGTTTTATATATATATATTTGTTTTTTAGTTGGAGTCTCTGTCGCACAGGATAGAGTGCATGGCACACTCACGTCCACCACACACCACAGCCTCTACCTACTGGATTCAGGGAAGCCTACCACCTCTGTCTTCCAAATAGCCGGAACTACAAGCCCTGTGCCACCACACCCGGCTATTTTTTTTATTTGCTGTGGAAATTAGGTCTCGTCAAGTTGCCCAGGCTGGTCTCAAGCCTCTGGGCTCAAACAGTCCTTTCTACTCGGCCTTCCAAAGTGCTGGGATTACAGTCGTGAGCCACCGCAACCGGCAAAATATATCTATTCATAGTTTCTTAGTAGCAAAAGCGCAGTCTTTTTCCAGAGGGATTTGCCCATGCCAGCCTTTCTTTCTCTCTTTCTTTCTCTCTCTCTCTCTCTCTCTCTCTCTCTCTCTCTCTCTCTCTCTCTTTCTTTCTTTCTTT